TGTGTATATATATATATATATATATATATATATATATAATAGGCCTGTGTGTGTATCCCTTATTATGTCCCTTATTTTTCTATGAAAAACCACGATTGTCCCTTATTTTCCTTTTCTGAAGTTGGCAACCCTAGTTGTGATGCAATTTTGCATTGTGATTACGCAATGACTTCATCACGCAATAACATCACAATATCATTTAGCAACTTTTAGCAACAAATCGACCTTCCTTTAGCAGCTTTGAAAATTAGTTGGCAAATTAGCCTACTTGTGATACAGGTACAATATCCTTTTTTTGTCTTTATGCTATGTATACGGAAGTGAGCAAAATTACAAGGTAATCAAATCTCTTGTTTGCATTATTGTAATGAAGGTATATTTTTAATTATTCACTGCCAAGTGTAATACTAAATAGTCTATTTAGAGTAAAGTTTGATAGCATGCAAGAAAAAAAACATTAATTTGGAAAAATACATATACTTTTTATTTTCATTTATATTTCACAATAAAACTCATGAAAGCATATTTAACTTTAATCCAAACAATCTAATAATTAACATGATGAAAATCACATTTTACCAGTGAACATCAAATATGCCCTGAAGTTTTTGCTCTGGACATTTTCAGAATTTAAACACGCAGAATATAAAATCTGAGCTTCTGGAAATGATTACTCATTTACCTTCATGTTAGATTGTCATTTGCCCCTGTGAAAAATGACAAATGTCTGTGACAGTCAGGAATATGTTACGTCCTTGTGAATATATTTAAAACCCTTCAGGTTCATGTTAACTGAAACATGTTTACTGCTAATACTTTGAGTGTACAAGATGAGAACTTGTCTAATTGAGGGTTCCTCTACAGTTCTCCGCAGCACACAGGCAGGGGATCTTCTCATCCTCAATAGGGAATTTGTAATCGTAAGTGATCTCTTCATTTACATTAACAGGTTGCCGAGAGTAGATGACTATCTTCTTTTGAGCTTCGACAGTGACGATTTTGGCATAGCAGTTTGGCTATGGAAGGAAAAACACATATAACCAGTAAACATAGAATGTTAAAATGGAAATTAATTACAGTCATACTAAACACTAAACAAAAAGTTTAATTATTTGGCATATTGACAATGCATTATGACTAGTTACTTAAAAACACATCATTTTGGTCTTACATTGCAACTGTGATTGATGAATCTTGCCAGGTTACCGCACTTGGTTGCATCAATGATAGTGTCCTGATCGACCCGGAACAGATAACTGCTTCCAATACCTTCCTTTTCATAGCGCCTTTCACGCATGTCTGCGATCACCTACAAGCAGAATTTGGGATATAATAAAAAAAAGAAATATTCAGGAACTTGACATTTATAGCTTAAGAAAAATAAATCACAGTTTTAACTCGTAAGTGCTGAAATATCTATATATGTTTTAAGTTCAGTTTTGTGTATTGTGTATCTCACCTGTCGAATGCTCTGGCCTACATATTCAATTATCATTTCATCTGCAGCAATGGGTTCCTCTGCAAACAGCCCCCAGTCATGAATACGACTCCTGCCAAAACGCAGCTTCTTCTTACGGAACTGTAAAGAGGGAAAATATTTACACTATTTACAAAAAAAAAAAAAAAAAAAAGAAGTAGCAGCAAAATAGTGCTGTTGTGGCGTTTCTGGTGATTCCAGCATCTCTTAAGTTGTGTTATTCTGTTGTTAGGACAGCTGGTCTCACCTTGAGTTGGTTGAATTTGAGGAGGTCGCTGTCACAGCTGAAGGAGGACAACAGGCGACGCTGTTCTGCTCGGAGTTCTGATCCTGATCTGGATGAAGATGGAATCTGAGCTGGCACACTTTTCCCCTGCATAGATCAGCACATAATCTCAAATTACTGTAAATTACTTTTAAAGGTGCATTGAGTCATGACTTTCAAGACATGACATATTCATGAAAACATCGTGGTCTTGGACTTTATACTGACACCTACTGGTGTGGATGCAAGTTTTTGTTTATGACAGTAAATTGGTCAAACTGCACAACATGCATGATTATGTCATAACATGGTGGCATGGTAGAATAAAACAGTTTTCTAGTCTATTTTTTTTTTTTCGTGTTTTCATTTCATGTGAGTTATACTTGCAATTTATTTAGGAGTAAAACTTTTTTGAAGTGAGAAAATGACTAAGTGCATTTTTAAATCACAGACATAATGTAGAGAAATAACTGATTGTATTTTTAAGGTCTTTAAACATGTTTATATATTTACAAATCAATGGTAACCGTAACAGACAAATAAATAAAGCATAATTTTCTTTCCAGTATTACTTCAGCATTATTTTTAGATTACTATAATTGTATTTATTAATATTTTTAATTAGTTTTTACTTATTCAAATTTCAGTTTTCATCTTAGTTTTGGTGGGTTTATATAGCTTTGATTAAATTTTATTTCAGTTCCAGTCATTTTAGTATTTCAACTGCAACTTATTTCATGTGGCTCCAAGGCAGCATCATTTTTGTGCTGAATCAAGTTTTTCATATATTGTATGTTTTATTTTATTTCAGCTTTATTTAAATTATCAAAAACAATTTGTTAAGGTTTCAGTTAACAATAACAACACTGTTTCTTTCTGACCTGATTATTTGAAATAAACTCTTCTGAAGCAGAAAGTTCATCCCTGAGATATCGCAGCTTTTCCGTCTTGCTGATGAAGTAATAACCCTCACTGCGTGCACAGCCTGTCACATGATTCCTGATTCCATCCCGCCATCTTCTAGACCTGTCGTCAGGAGTGCTGGTTGGTGCAACAGAGTCAAGGAACAAACAACAGAGCAATATGCATATGGAAAATAGATTTGACAATATATTTTAATACATTTTAGTCCACTGGATAAAAAATACATTATCAAGTACTGTGACTATGACGTGTATTATGTGTTTAAGGATATGAGGATGTGGGACCCAGCGTGTGCTGTTCAACCAATCACATTCTTTATCCTCCACCACAAGCCTCTCATAGGTGGCCTTCAGGTGATTGATCTCCTCCTCATTCACCCCTTTAGTCCACACAGCATGGAGGACCAACTTCTCTCTTCTCTCAGAACGTGGAGAGAAGATGAGGCGACGTGTCGATGATGGTTCTCTCCACCTTCTCCACACATAAGAAGACTCCTGAAGCCTTTGATTCTCATTCGGTTGGCGTTTGTCTTCTACCGAACACTTCTCTCGATGGGCTTCTGGTGGTTTTTGTTCAGTCCTAATATCCGAGACACAATCCAAAGGCCTCAAAACCCGATTTGAAGAAGATTTTGTTGTCACATTGTTCACTTGTAAGGGCGAATGAGTATTTATATTTGTGTACTGTCTTGTCCGTTGTAATTCAATCATTCGTCTTCTCATTTTAAGCCGCTCTCGCCGCCTTTTCAAGCGTGCCGTGTCTAAACAAGCTCTTCGACGTGAGGAGATATGACGGTCGTGAGGTGCATGACTACTATTTATACTGAAATAGTTAGTTTGCACCTCTGAGTTGTGATGATGGAGTGCACTAGCCCACAGCTCTCTATGGGTTCGGACAGGTGGAGATGGAGACATGTCTCTCCCTGGAGTCCTCGGGATCCCGCTGTCAGCACATGGAGACAGGACGGGGTTACAGGGGCTTCCCATTCTCAGTGAGGTCTCTTGCAGTAATCCCGCTGGTGTTATTCCCTCAGAGTGATAAACGTGGCATGGTCCATTGACCCGGCCTGGTGTTTTTGGTATTTCCTCATACGTGGGGTATGAGGAAGGGAGAGGAGGACAGTGATAAATGGGTGAGGAGGAAAGTTCCTGGATGCCTGTGGGAGAGGGAGGAGGTGGTAGTGGTGTTGGTGGTCCTGGAGGTAAAATATGATCCTCAGTCTCCTCCATTTCCAGACATCCCCCAGGTGTGTGAGGCAGCTCCACCTCCTCAATAGTAGGAGGTGAAAATCGGCGTCCCAGCTCCATTTCAGGGTCAATGTCAGACAAGGATCCAGTGGGTGTATTGGGTCTGAGGTTCTCAGAATCCTCCAGTGTTTCTGTAAGGACTCTCTGGTTCTCTGAATCTGAAGTGTATTGTGTCTCCAAATCATCTGAAAGCAGAAAGATACAGATTCTGCAACTAACAACTACTTGATAAACTGTTGATTATTTATTTGATTGTCTGTTATTACAAATATGCAAATATACTGTAAGTATATATAATGCAAAATGGTTGAAAATATAAAGATAGTATAAATATAAAAAAAAGTTTGAAAGTTAAATTATCCAAAATTACAGTAATACTGCATAATGGAAAGTAACATTATCACAGCATAACAGCATATACTGTAAATATTTTGCATATAAATTTGTTTTTCTACTTGATTATGGAGCAAAAACCTGATTAGTTATTGATTAATATTATTGGTTATATTTGCGTATATATATATTATTGCAAAATGTAAAAATATATAAATATATAAATTATTATTTAACATATAATAACAATTATTATTTAGATACACAAATTATAGCAATAGTCAGACAAATGTGAAATCAGTTACTATAAAAAGAAAATGGTAAAATTATCATATTTACATGTATATGTATGTGCATGTGTTTGTTTGTATATTTTTGTGTTTAGATATGTAACAACTAGAAAATCTAAATCAAATGTCATAAATGACGAAATATGTGGCTTTCGGCTTGCTCACTGTGGGGTTGTAAGGCACAATTTTCCCTTACTTTTCCTTTTATTGGCTTAATTTTGCTATTTTGTTTAAACCTGCTGTTGACAAAGGTGTATTATAAGAAGTTATGAAAGAAACTTTAAAAAAACATAGTTGTTGGAAATGTGAAATGGATCAGTGAAGAGTAAACCATACCTGACAATCCTCTGTATGTGGGAGACGGTGGGCTTGGCAGCTCTGACTCCTGGTCTGAGAAGAATATCACCGGGTCTGGGAGCTTTAGTTTCTTTGTTAAACTGTGTTTAACTGGGTCCTGTAAGGTGTATCTGAGAGGCTCAGGTAGTTTCAGACCTTGCATATAAACTCTTACGCTCAGTTCCTCCTCTGGGTCTTCTGTGCTAGCTGGATCCAAATCTGCAAGAGCCGAAACACAAATTACATTTGACAACACAACCACAAATTACATTTGACAACACTGATGATTTAGATATTTCTTAATGTTTTGCTACACCAGTTGGATCAAAAAACTAGTTCTGATATAACTATGAGAAAATATTAAAAATTCTCAAAAATATCTGATGCGCAGATAACTGAACACTGAAACATTCTCCTTGTAATATAATGTAAATGATACAAAAAAAAAAAAGTTAAAAAACAATACAGATAAAGAAAAAAATGCATGTCTTGTCTAAACAGTGACCTCTAGTGGATATATATATATATATATATGTGTGTGATTCCTTTATTTTCATTTTGGAAACATGGGGGTTGATTTGTGCTTTATGTGAAAACAGAAAATCTATAAACTAACCGAACAATTCATGGTCCACATCACTTTCTATTAAATCTGGAGCAGACGGGGTCACAGGGGGGTCAAGATCTTCCCATTGTGTAAAAGACGAGTAAACAAGAGGGTGAGTGATCTCCTGATTTTCATTTTCATTCTCATCTGAAGAAATCCATATAATCTCTTCTATTTTTCTGTCCTCATGTGGAGTTTCAGGAAAATAATTTTCATAATCCAACTGATCGTCCTCTCCAGAAGACAGAGAGTCTGAGGAATCATCGCTTCTGTCATCTGAGGAGTCAAAGACAGATACAGAGGAAACTGAGGAGTCAATACCAGATGGAGAAGAATCTGAGGAGTCAGAGACAGTTCTGGGAGAGTCTAAGGAGTCGTATCCTTGGCTTTTAGAAGCAGATGAGTTTGAACTTGTGTGACTGATAGTATCTGAAAGATATAAAAGCATACAATAAATTTGTCATACAAGATGCAGAAAACATAATTATAATATTATATTATATATATAGTACAAAAGTTTGGGGTCAGCAAGATTATTTGATGTTGTCTCTTATGCTCGCCAAGGCTGCATTTATTTGATCAAAAAATACAGTAAAAGCAGCAATTATATATATATATTTTTTTAAATATTTTAATATATTATAAAATGTCATTTATTCCTTTGACAGCAAAGCAAAATTTTCAACATCATTACTCCAGTTTTCAGTGTAACAAGATCCATCAGAAAACATTCTAATATGCTGTTTTGCTGCTCAAGAATTATTTATTTTTATCAATATTGAAAACAGTTGTGCTGATTTGTGGAAAATGATTTTATACATACATACATATATATATAATAACATGGTGTCTGTGTGGTTGATCCGGGGTATGTATACTGTAAAGGAGGTAAAGAGTGTGTGAAAGGTCCGTGTGCCATCCAGATTACGTGTGCACCCGCTCTCTGATGGCTAAACAGCAGGGTTAGGAATGAGGTAAGAGTGTATGTATATGTATCTAAATATGTGTGCCCGTACTGCCGTTTCCAGCGCTGAAGATCAACTCTTCACAAGGATGCTAAAATATTTTTAATGGTAAACAAA